AGGAGGTCTGGGCCCTGAGCTTTGCCAGGCTTGGAGGTGCCGACAGCTACTTGCTGTTCTTCCAAAGTAATTGGTTTCTCCGACTTTTTGCGTAATTTGAGTGGAGAGCCTGGGGAGACCTGAGGAGGATACATATTCCTCAATATTATTCTGGGGCATCGGATTGTTGGGCAGGTTATACAAGTTCTGGTAGAATTCACAGAAGGTGTCTGCGATTTGGAGGGGGGCAGCTGAATCCTCTTACCATCATTGCCCACAAGGTAAGGGATATAGGATTGACTGCATTGGTCATGCAGGGTTCTAGCTAACAGGAGACTACATTTATCTCCGGATTTGTAATAATGTTTCCGGCAAGATTGTAAAGCTGCCTTGGTTTTGTATTGGAGAAGGGAGATGATTCGTCTGTGTGGGCTTAAAAGTTCCTTTTCTACCTGTGTAGTAGGAAGTTGTTTATGTTGCGTCTCTAACAAATGTACGTTTGCGAGTAGTTGAGCTAGTTCGGCCTCGCATTCACATTGGAATTGCAAGCCATGTTTGATGAGAACCCCTCTGATTACTGCTTTGTAGGCTTCCCATACTATTCCAGAATGACCATCCAGAGAAGAGTTTGGAAGTAGAACTTCTTTGGTCACATCTTCATCTACTGTCTTCTCTTGTAGGAGACCCTCGTTGAGTTAAGTGTCATTCATGGGGGGAGGTATGTTCTGTCAAAGTGAGTGTCTATGTAATTGGGGCGTGGTCTGATGTTCCCTATATCAAGCGCTAAGACCGCAGGAAGCAAGCGGTGGGGAATAAGGAAAGATCAATACGGGAGTACACCTTGTGTGGAGGCGAGTAAAAAGTGTAGTCTTTCATCTGGATGAAATAACTGCCAAGCGTCTAAGTTAGGTTTCGTGAAGGGCCTGTAAGACGCATTTGCGACAACTGGAGGTAACAGAGGAGCAACCTGCTGAAGTATCCACCCTTGGGTCTAGGGGTAGATTAGAGTCTCCACCCAGGAGGAGTATGCCTTCAGCAAACGTCATGAGGGTGCCAGTAGTAGAACATAGGAACTGATCTTGATGGCAATTAAGAGCATAAACATTGGCTAGGGTTAGTTTAATTCTGCCAATGGTGCCTTTTAAGGAACAGAAATCAACCCTCCTCATCAGCCCTGGAATCAAGAAGTGACCAAGGCATTCGTTTAGAGACCTTTTTTTTTTTCTTTTTTTTTTTTTTCTCTCTTGAGGTGCATTAACAGCCCATACAAAATGCACTCAGGCCAGTGATTACTGAGCATCTCAGACGGGGAGAACTGCATGTAAACAACACAGTTCTCCTCCCTGTCAGCTTGTGCACACTTGTTTGGATGGCAATGCACAGCAGAGCCATGCAAAGCAGTGTTATTACAGTGAAGCACACGGACACAGCTTACAGTGAAACAGCACACCGATAACCCTTTGATCGCCCCTGATGTTAACCCCTTCCGGCCCAGTGCCACCAGTACAGTTTTAGCACTGATCACTTTATTGGTGTCACTGGGGATATTAGTGACACCAAGTCCGTTTCCCCCCAGTGTCAGAGTGCCTGCCTTAGTCCGCTATAAGTCGCTGTTCACCGCCATTACTAATAAAAATTACAGTATCTATACTGCCATTTGTAAACGCTAGAACTTTCACGTAAACCAATTCATTTACACGTATTGGATTTTTTTTTCTTTAGCAAAGACATGTAGCAGAATACATTTTGGTGTAAATTTATAATAAAATTTGATTTTTTTTTTTTTTTTAAATTTCTACTGGACATGTTTAATAGCAAAAAGTCAAAAATTTTTTTTTTTTCCCTCAAAATTCTTTTTTTTTTTTTTTCCCTCAAAATTGTCTTTTTTTTTTTTTTTTCTGTGTTTATAGAACAAAACCGCACAGGTACCACAGAAAGAAAGCTCAATTCATGGGAACAAAAGGACGTAAATTTCATTTGGGTGCAGCGTTGCATGACCACGCAGTTGTCAGTTAAACTAATGCAGCGCCGTAATGCAAAAAAAATGGCTGTAACGAACGTAACGTCAGACCCCAGACCTTCTCACCAAACTCGTGACCGAAGGCCAATTATGCAGAGGGTTAAACAAACACAGTAGCGTTCCCTTTAGAGGCAGGAATACGTAAATTGCAATAAAGCGCTATAGAAACAGTTCACCACTTTCAGAAGGAAAGATTTATTAGTAAAAGGTCAAACGGGTGCGATAAGAATATTTACAGAAAAAGATGTAACTAAGATAGATAGATAGATAGATAGATAGATAGATAGATATATAGATATATATATATATATATACATATACAGTTGCAAGAAAAAGTATGTGAACCCCTTGGGATTACGTGGAGTTTTGCATGAATTGGGCATAAAATGTGCTCTGAACGTCATCTAAGTCACAACAATAGAAGAACACAGTCTGCTGAACATAATACTACACAAACATTAGATGTTGCCATCGTTTAATTGCACATAACATGTAAACATTCACAGTGCAGGGAGGAAAAAGTATGTGAGGCCCTAGCTTAATGACTTCTCCCAGAGCTAATTGGAGCCAAGAGTGAGCCAACTTTGACTCCAGTCAGTGTGAGGATATTGGATGTGTTGCTGACAGCTGTCCTGCCCTTAAAAAACACACACCTGTTTTGGGTTTGCTGGTTTCAAGAAACACTGTCTAAAGTGAACCATGCCTCGCAGAAAAGAGCTCTCAGAAGACCTACGATCAAGAATTGTTGACTTGCATGAAGCTGGAAAGGGTTACAAAAGTATCTGCAAAAGCCTTGATGTTCATGTGTCCACGGTAAGACAGACTTTCTACAAATGGAGAACGTTTAGCACTGTTGCTACTCTCCCTAGGCATGGTCGTCCTGTAAAAATGACTGCAAGAGCACAGCGCAGAATGCTGCATGAGGTAAAGAAGAATCCCAGAGTGTCAGCTAAAGACCTACAGAAATCTTTGGCACATGCTAACATTTTTGTTGACACATCTACAATAAGGAAAACATTAAACAAGAAAGGAGTACATGGAAGGACACCACGGAGGAAGCCATTGCTGTCCAAAAAGAATATTGCAGCACGTTTGAAGTTTGCAAAAGAGCACCTGGATGTTCCACAGCACTACTGGCAAAATATACTGTGGACAGATGAAACCAAGATTGAGTTATTTGGAAGAACACACAACACTATGTTTGGAGAAAAAAAGGCACAGCACACCAACATCAAAACCTCATCCCCACTGTAAAACGTGGCGGAGGGAGCATCATGGTTTGGGGCTGCTTTGCTGCCTCAGGTCCTGGACGGATTGTTGTCATTGATGGGAAAATGAATTCCAGAGTTTATCAAAGACATTTTGCAGGAAAATGTACGACCATCTGTCCGCCAACTGAAGCTCCGCAGAGGATGGGTGATGCAACAGGACAATGACCCAAAGCATACAAGTAATTCAACAAAACAATGGCTGCAACAGCACAGAATACGCCTTCTGGAGTGGCCCAGTCAGAGTCCTTACCTCAACCCGATTGAAATGCTGTGGCATGACCTTAAGAGAGCGATTCACATCAGACATCCCAAGAATATTGCTACACTGAAACAGTTTTGTGAAGAGGAGTGGTCCAAAATTACTCCAGATCATTGTGCAGGTCTGATCTGCAACTACAGGAAACGTTTGGTTGAGGTTATTGCTGCAAAAGGAGAGTCAACCAGTTATTAAGTCCAAAGGTTCACATACTTTTTCCTCCCTGCACTGTAAATGTTTACATGTTATGTGCAATTAAACCATGGCAACATTTAATGTTTGTGTAGTATTATGTTCAGCAGACTGTGTTCTTCTATTGTTGTGACTTAGATGACGTTCAGAGCACATTTTATACCCAATTCATGCAAAACTCCACGTAGTCCCAAGGGGTTCACATACTTTTTCTTGCAACTGTGTGTGTGTATATATATATGTATGTGTATATATATATATATATATATATATATATATATATATATATATATATATACACACACACAACACAGACCAACAGCACAGCAAAGAGATATCAGAGAGAGGTGAAAGGGTTAAGGTACTTGCCAAAGTCCTGGGTTAGCAGATCCAAGTTTCAGAGCAAAAGGGCACGGGTCTCCCCAGGTGGTGCTGATGTTAAAATGGGAGACGTCTTCCACTAACTCTCTTAGGCCTGACAGCCTATTTTGTAGTTCCCCAGCAGGGGGTGTCTCTGAAGTCAAGGACCAATACCCCGTTTTAGGGCTTGGAGGTCTGGGCGGATACCTCAACTAGAGCCAAAATCTCTCCTAACTCATATTTTGGCCCATAACTTTCCATCTGCACAAGTGACATTCCACCTGCGGGTAGATTATTATGCAGACACGTCTGAGGATTGATTAGATATGAATTATGAAATTATACACTGAACGGTTCACGAGATCTATTTTTTGGCTTTCCTATGTATTCGAGACAAGGCGAGTGACCCATCAAATTGTTCGTCTTCTCTTAGCCAATCTGACAATATGTCTGGTTTTTATGTAAGTCTCTCATATTCCAAGATATGAGACATAGGGGAAAAATGGATTTTGAAAAGTGTTTTTCTGATTCGTGCTTCCTTGGAATGCCTTGAACTCCTGGGCAGGCTCTGTTATCTTTTTACAAGGTGTTAAATGGCACAGGTTGCTCAGACAGCCAGGCACCTTGCTCAGAGAGGTGTTTTATAGCTCTGGGCTCCCTGCCGTGCCCTTCCAACACACATATGTCCCTGTGGATTAACAGAGAGGAAAGGGGGAAAAATGAGGGACAACATGGAGATTCTTACCAAAATGGAGGACTGCGTCAGTCTCTGGTGCGCACGTTTGCGACAATGGCCTGGTCAGGAAGGGGGGTAAATCCTCAGGAGGGCAATTGATAAGTATGTAACTGATGACTGTGTGGATATGAGATACTTTTTTTAATGAAGTACATTTATATTTGTGTTCTAGGTTTTGTGGGAAAGATGAGGAGCAAACGTTTATGCTCGTCTGATGCCAGAGACCGACAACATGAAGAAAAAGATGGTAAGACATAATTTTTGTCCTAGTGTGCATCGTTAACAAAGAACATTTTCGTTGCCAGACCAACTTTTTTTTTTTTTTTTTGGCTGTGTTTTTGGCTTTAACCACTTCAAAACTGAGCAAATTCTGGCATTTCTGTCCTATATGTAAAAATATTTTTTTTTACCCTAGAGAATAAAATGGCGGTCGTTGCAAATGTTTGAAAAGTGGGTTTTACTTTTGACTGCTGTTTTTGCTGGTGCTTGTAGTTTTATGTTCGTCTTTGTATCTTGCTAAAAGCTTGTACTTTTTTAAATCCCTTTTTCTGTCACTTTTTAAATAGAATTTTTTTTTCTTCCTTTCCTTGTTTTCCTTCAGTCTGCTAATTAAGGGAAGGGGTTAATTGGTGATACAGGTCCTATATAACTTGCTGTAGAGCTCACTCTGAGCTTGCTCATTTTGGGCTTGCCTGTATTTTGCTTGCCAGACCTTTGACTAATGCAGGCCGTAGACGGGTCGAAAATCGACCGATTTTTTATTTTTTTTTTTTTTTTTTTTGGGGACGAAAAAAAAAATCGGCCGATTTTCGCACCATTAATGGATTAATTGGTTGGCCGTATTTTGGGGTTTTGGCACTTTTTTTTTTTTTTTTTTTATCGGTGAAGTTGGAAAAAAATTGTCCGATTTTGCCAATCGGCCGATTTTCCCGGCAATGATGGGCAAATCGGCCAATCTTTTTGCCATTAAAAAATCTGCGCATGACCCGTGGCCTGCAAGAAGAAGAAAAAAAAGAATAAGAATTCCAGTCCGCTATTATATTTGACATGAAAAAGTCTTGCGGTTGCAACAATGTATCTATTTGTATCTGAATAAAACCATCTGTATCCGAAATGGATACATTTTTTTTAAAAACGGCACAGTGCACAGTGTGCCGCATGTATGCAGCAATGGAGCAACGGCTCCAGGATGGATACCGCTGCAACAGATGTGAGCGGCTTGCCCTTCTGGAAACTCGCATTAGAGATCTGGAGGAGCAAGTTGCAACACTGGACAGAACCGACAACCTTGAAAAGGGTCTTCTGCTCTCTGAGCAGGTAGCTAATGGGATTGATGTGGAGGGCGGAGGGGGCATATCAGGATTATCAGGTAAGAAGAGGGGTTACTGTAACGAGAGGGAGTGGTAGGGGCTCACAGAAAAGGAAGGCCGGCCCTGGGTTGTGCCCCCAAACAGATTTGCCAAGTTGGGTGAAGATGTGGGGGTGGTAAGCTTAGGGGTGGCAGCCCTGGATGTCACTTTTATCCCTAACAGTCGGGAGGGCAGACCATCTGGGAGGGGTGGTGGGGGTAGTGCAGAAAGGCCTAGACAGCTGGTGGTAGTAGGGGATTCTATAATCAGAAGGACTGATAGAATAATTTGTCGCCAGGATCGCCTCAACCAAATGGTTTCCAGTCTCCCTGGTGCCAGGGTTCGGCATGTGGTGGACCAGGTTGATAAATTACTGGGAGGGGCTGGGCATGACCCAGCTGTCTTGGTTCATGTTGAAACCAATGACCGAATACATGGAAGGTGGAGGCTCCTTAAGAACCAATTTAATGAACTAGGCTGCAAGTTGAAGGGAAGGACCTCCAAGGTGATATTCTCTGAAATATTTCCTGTGCCATGCACAACTCAGGAAAGATGGGGAGATTAGAGAACTCAATGCATGGCTCAAGACCTGGTGTAAGAGGGAAGGATTTGGGTTTCTAGAGTACTGGGCTGACTTTTCATTGGGGTGCAACCTATATGCTAGAGATGGTTTGCACCCTAAATGGAAGGGGGTCTGCTGTGCTAGGTAGAGGTTTATGGGAAGGCTGGAGGAGTATTTAAACTAGGATCGAGGTGGGAGGGAGAATTAGATTATAATGGGGTAGACAGATCAGACAGGGGTCAGTACTTATTGGTGGGTGGAATGGGGAAAGATGGGGGGAAGGCTATGGCAGATAAGAAGGTTCCCATGTTACACAAACAACCTGTGGAACCGGTACCATTTGTATAAAAATACAAAATGTGCAAAATACATGTGCACAAGGTGTCAATTGATTAAAGTGTGTGTTCACCAATGCCAGAAGTCTGACAAGCAAAATAGGTGAGTTGGAAGCTTTGGTACATGAAGAGAACTATGATTTAATTGGTATTGCTGAATCTTGGCTTCATTCTTCACATGACTGGGCCATTAATATTCCTGGCTATGTTCTCTTTCGGAGAGACAGAGTAAAGAGGAAAGGTGGTGGTGTCTCTATGTGAGAAGTGATCTCAGAGCGAGTGTGATAGAGGACCTAGTTGATGGAGAGTGTGATGAGGCTGAAGTATTATGGGTGGAACTGCACATGGGGGTGCGTACTACAAAGGTAATCATTTGAGTTTGTTATAGGCTTCCCAGTGATGAGGAGGTGGAGATTCAGCTCCTTGAACAGATTGCAAGGGCTGGGACAGTGATAATAATGGGGGATATTAACTACCCGGAAATTGACTGGAGTAATGGTACTGCAGGAACAGTTAAAGGGCAAACATTTTTAAACCTACTACAGGACAATTTTATGGTACAGTTCATAGAGGCCCCTACTAGGAAAGATACGCTGCTGGACCTGGTAATCTCAAACCATGTAGAGCTTAAATTCTTCAAATATATTAATAGTAAAAAGGTCAGGTCCAAGCATGTAAGCCCTTTACAAAATAATCTAGAGTGGGTGACTGGGGACAATGGGAAGGCAAATTTATTAATTACCTTCTTCAGCTCTGTGTATACAAAGGAACATGGGGGAGCTCTTGTACGTAATGGGCATGGTATTGACACAACTCCAGATGATCCACATTGGCTCACAACTGATATGTTCCAAAATTATTTAGACAGAATAAAGGTGAATAAAGCAAGGGAGCTCACATAGCGTAAAGCCATGTTTATTAAAACCAAAATATATCTAAGGGTGGAGCTTACACTCATTACATCATCACTCAAACTATTACAAGAAAACAACTGCAGCCAAATCCCAGGATTGGTATCATATATGCTTAATCCTTTTACTGTTTATGTGAATGTGAGTAGATATATTTTGGTTTTAATAAACATGGTTTTACGCTATGTGAGCTCCCTTGCTTCCTTTACATACTATATATGAGTACTCTTTCATGCTGGAGTGGATATGATATGGAGTATGAAATAGTGCTGTGAAGGTGATGGGAGAATGTGCTATCTATCACTGATGGTTTTTCATGGCAAGGTCAATGAGATAAGAAGTCTAGTCCAGAGGACTAACTATATGCCTTTCCGACTCTTATCAAGAGTCCATATGCTCTGGTAAGAGTTTCTAAGGTGGCGGTGCACTTTTGGTGTTGGAAATGTGTGGGGGCACACAAGAAGTTTCTTATTGAACACCGCAACACTGGCATTTTTATATTGACTTTGTTTCTATTAAGGACTATCACTATGATGCTGGACACCTAATCTTCAGATAAATATACACACTATATTGCCAAAAATATTGGGACACCCTTCCAAATCATTGGATTCACGTATTCCAATAGCCTCCATTGCCACAAGTGTATAAAATCAAGCACCTAGGCATGCAGACTATTACAAACATTTGTGAAAGAATGGGTCGCTCTCAGGAGGTCAGTGAACTCAAGTGTGGTACTGTGATAGGTTGTTACCTGTGCAATAAGTCCATCTGTGAAATTTCCTTGCTACTAAAATATACCACAGTCAACTGTTAGTGGTATTATAACAAAGTGGAAGCAACTGGGAACAACAGCAACTCAGCCACAAAGTGGTAGGTCATGTAAAATGACAAAGTGCTTTAGCATGCGCTGTTTTTGGTGTTCCACGAGGATTAAGTGGTTCTTTGCCCTTGTCTATCCTTTCCTAAGGTGGTGTTGGCATTCCACTTGAAATAAGACTTTGTTCTACCATCTCTCTTCCTCGTCCTTCTCATCCCAGAAGTTTGAACCTTCTTTTTTTTTTTTTTTTTTTTAGACATAGGGCCATTGGGGGTTAACCTTTCTACCACAGCCGTTAACAAATCTGACTTTGTTCCTTGTTCTGGATGGCCCTCTGAAAGGTCTAGTGGCTTTGCCTTTTCACCATTGTCTTGTGGATTTGTCAAATTGTTGTCCAGGCTTATACCCTCGCAGGCCGAGAGCCTACATTTCTGGTCACTGCACATTCTTTCATAGTGCGTCCTGGGCTTTTCATTATTCTACCTCAGTTGTTCAAGTTTGCAAGGTGGATACTAGGCCGTCTGTTCCCACGTTTATCAATTTGAGTTAGCTGCTCACCAGTTGCCAGCTTTGTTTGGAGTTTTCCTTTTCTGGTTGTTGTGTTGTTTTTTTCTGTTTATGGGCCAAAATTTTTTTTTTTTTTTCAGAGATTTGGGTTGTCCCATCCATAATATGGCATGGCTGTGTCCTTCAATGAACAAAATTTTCACAACAAACTGATTTGTATTCACAGTAAAATTATTTTCTCTGATTTTACTGAAGGACACAGCACCCACCCAGACTTTCTTTGGCTTTCTCAGTGAGTATGCCCTATACTGCTATTATTACTGGCACTGCTGACTACAAGCTGAACGTCTTGCCACAGATGGGGGTTTTGGCCACCTCCAGAGGGCTGCCTTCTGGGTATGCTTTTAGTTTAGTTGCACCTAGTGTCCTGCTCCTGTAGGTGGTGACATCAAACCCATCTGTCATGGAAGTATGGCTGTGTTCTGAGACGATTTTATGGTGAGTATAAAAATCCTGATTTTTTTGCTCTTGAGTGTACATAAGCTTGAAATATGCATACAAAAATATTTTTTTTCCTGCCTGGTTCAAAATAAGGTGAAAATGGGTGAGGAGTTATTTGAAATTGCTTTATACTTAGTAGAACCTGTCTGTATGTTAACATATTGTTTTATCATTCAAAGATTTCTAAAATACAGGTACTGTTTGGAAATGCTACCCAGCGAGTTAAACGTAACTTTTTGCTCTCTGTTTTAAAAAATTTATAGGTGAAGAAGGCAGAGATGGCATTGGTGCCAGTGCTTTAGCGTCAAGCTCTTCTGAGAGGTGTCCAATATGTCTGAACAGTCTTTCTCTAGAGGTTGGCTTTCCAGAAGATTGTTGTCATGCTTTCTGTATATCCTGCATTCTTAAGTGGTCTGAAGTAAGTATCAAGTTAAATTTTAAAGGATGTAGAGTTTGTGCTTCTACTTGTCATAATGTTTAAAGTGGAGTTCCACCTAAAAAAAAAAAAAAAAAAAAGTAAAAGTCAGAAGCTACAAAAGCTGTAGCTGCTGACTTTTAAAATAGACACTTACCTGTCCCTGTCGTGTCCCAGAAGACTACGAGAGGGTAGGGGGGAGGACAACTTCCGCTTCCGATCGTCTAGGCGATCACAGAGGGAGCGGGTATCTGTCAAATTTTGGTACCCGCTCCCCAAAGGTGCCAATCCTTGATGGGGAGCAGGGGACAAAGGCTTAAAGCGGAACTTTCCCTTTTCGGGTCGAGCTCTGCTTTAAATTCCATTACCTTTTTTTGCTATTTTGATGATAAAACCAACATTTGACATGAGGATCTTTAGAACTGAAAAATAATCCTAGAAGAAAGGAAGTGAATATAGTTTTAATTGCATTCTACACTTTCAAATGTTTTTGCTGTTTTAATTAGGTTTTAGGTATATTTCCTGTGCTGGCTGTTTGCCTTGCCATAGCGGGCTCGCATGTTGTGGCTGCAGTTTGTAGTGTCATGGTTGATCAGTTCTCCTATATCCATGAATTCAACCATCTAGCTTGTCCCTATTCGCTAAAGCAGGGGTGCTCAACCCTTGGGTCACTGATCTGGCCCGCAACCACATTCTCTTGGATGGCAGGTCAACAAGCCTAGATCGTGGCTTGCCAACCTGCCATCCCAGATAATCAGAGTTCATGGAGCCGGCCGTGAAGGAGATAAGCGATCACAGGGAGAGCAAGAGCCACATAAGCCGATGCTTCCTCTGTAGTGCTGGCTTCTGTCCGAGGTGGAGTGATACCAAGTGCACTTCACCTGGGACCTTTCTAGCAACCTAGTAATGCCAGCAGAAGCTTGAAGAGAAGAATGAAGTTTATTAAACATCACATAGTTTTCAATGGGCATATTAACACTTTTATAGCCTGCGGGTTTGGTGCGCTTTCAGAAAGTGCACCACACCTGCACAATATAACAGAAGTCTATGGCAATATATATATTTACAGACAGATTCTCTTTATTAAGGATGCAGGGATTTATTAGATCTCTGATGTCTCCTCTGCACACCACTGAAGCAAATAAAGCACATAGGCAATGTTCCGGTGCCTGTGAAAGTGTGAATCACACTCCTGGCCGCTGTAGCAGTGGAAGGGTTAAAACCTTCTAGGATTTAGAGCCATAGGTGTGACCTAGTTGAATGAGTTAATTTAGGGATGTTTAAGGTGTGAATAAATGTTAGAAGCAAGTTTGAGGTGATGTGTTCAGTAGTGGTCAGTTGGACATCAATATTTTTAAACATGAGAGAGGAGTTTTAGAACAAAATTTGGCATTGGGCACTTGGCATTTTTTGTCTGGCCAGCTGTGAACACATCCCTTGTCCAGAAACACACACACACCCACACAATGGATTTGAAATGAAACAAACAAGATGTGCTTTAACTGCAGACTTTCAGCTTTAATTTGAGGGTATTTCCATCCAAGCAGATGAACGGTGTAGGAATTACAACAGTTTGCATATGTGCCTCCCACTTGTTAAGGGACCAAAAGTAATGGGACAATTGACTTCTCAGCTGGTCCATGGCCAGGTGTGTGTTATTCCCTCATTATCCCAATTACAATGAGCAGATAAAAGGTCCAGAGTTCATTTCAAGGTTGCTATTTGCATTTGGAATCTGTTATGAGACCCAGACCACCTTGATGTATGTAAATGAACATGTTATATTTGGAAGTTCTTAATCTCTTATGGTTCCAGACAAAAGCGATGTCAGAGTTAGTAGTGTACTGGGGAGTGGGGTGGGAAGGGTGAAAAAAGGTAGACGTTTTGACCTTGTTACTATTTTGATGGCATTCATTTTCCCTAGGAAAAGGGTTTGTTGTATCCAAGACAATATAAGTCTTTACATTTTTGGAATGTAGGGATGTAGTTTGTTGAAGTTAATTTTATTCCTAGGCATTCTAGGTTTGTGTTTTGAATAAGCGAAATCAAATCCATGGTGGCTGCCAGGCATTCAGGAGGTGAAACTGCTGCTTCCTGAATGGCTTTTTTTTTTTTTTCCGAAGTGAGGGGCATTTGGGGGTGCTGGTTGCAGTATAATCAAGAATCATTTGCCTGTTTAACTCTGTAAAAAAGGTTAAAAGCTCACAGGATTTCAAGCAGGGTCAACAGGTATTTTTTTTTTTTTTGCAAAAAAAACATGGGAAATATATGCATGTGTTGCAGGGAAAAAATGAGTTCTATGAGTTTTTTTTTTATTAAAAAAAGATGGTTGTATAAAATTAGATAAGAAAGAATTAATAAAAAAAAACTCATAGAACTCATTTTTTCCCTGCAACACATGCATATTTTCCCATGTTTTTTTTGCAAAAAAAACATGGGAAAATATGCATGTGTTGCAGGGAAAAAATGAGTTCTATGAGTTTTTTTTTATTAATTCTTTCTTATCTAATTTTATACAACCATCTTTTTTTCTTTCCTTTTTTTTTTTTTTTTTTTTTTTTTTTTTTTTTTTTTTTCTTCAATGGTATTTTTTAACCACTTGAGCTCCTGAGGATTTACCCCCTTAATGACCAGGCCTTTTTTTGCTGTTTGGCGCTGCACTAATTAAAATGATAATTGCGCGGTCATGTAATGCTGTACCCAAACGAAATTTACGTCCTTTTTTCACACAAATAGAGCTTTCTTTTCGTGGTATTTTTATCATATGCGCGCTTTTGATTTTTTGCGCTATAAAACAAAAAAAACACGAAAATTTTGAAAAAAAAACCCAATATTTTTTCTACTTTCAGCTATAAAAAATATATCGTAAACTCAGTCATAAATTTAAGCCAAACTGTATTCTGCTACATGTTTTTGGTAAAAAAAAATCCCAATAAGTGTATATTGATTGATTTGTGTGAAAGTTATAGCATCTACACGCTATGGTATAGATACTGTAATTTATGCCTTTTTTTTTTGCTATACAGAGCTATACTAATTCAAATGATAATTGCGCAGTCATGCAATGCTGTACCCAAGCGAAATTTATGTCCTTTTTTTCACACAAATAGAGCTTTCTTTTGGTGGTATTTTTTCACCTATGCGCTTTTTATTTTTTGCTCTATAAACAAAAAAAACACAAACATTTTGAAAAAAAACAATATTTTCTACTTTCAGCTATAAAAAAATATATTGTAAACTCAAAGTTAGGGGGTGCGATCAAGGGGTTAAACGGGATTACTGGTGTACTAACGGGCAAACTGGCGCTATCTGGGAGGGGCGCTAACACTATTGGAGGTCGCCAGCACACTGATACAGTGATCAGTAAAAATCTGTTCACTGATCAATGACAGGGCAGTAAAGGGTTATCTGGGGGGGGGGGGGGTGGTCAGGGGGTTAAATTTGTCCTAGAGTGTTCTAACTGTCTGTGTAGTGCTTTTGTACTCAGTTTTTCTGTCTTCTTCTCTCTCTGGGATGAATGTACCCCGGCAGAGAAGAATGACATCATATCCTGTCCTGTGTAAATGTCAACACAGGACAGGATAGGACAGGGACCGATCATCTGATTTCAGCCAGACATCACTGGCTGAAACCGGATGATTGATCCCTCCGGGATCAAATCGTGACACCCGCGGGTCGGCGGGAGCGCGTGCGCCCCCTGCCCGCGAAAACCTCGGGAGCGCCGAGCGCGTTTTAAAACGTGCTTTTGCGCAGCCGTGCCTCCCTGCCACTGTTTTAATGCAGTGGCTGGGCGGCGAGACGTTAAATGTTAACATAGAAAACATATATGCATAAGAATGCCCACGCAGGGGCTAGCAATGGCACATATTGTGAAAATAGACATGTAGATAAACTAAAACAATAAACCAAAAAAACAAAGGTCAGGTGTAGACTGACACCACAGTAATAACATATCACACTATATAGCCACAGGCAGTGGGCAACTCAGAGGGTCCCTGCCGTAACCGTGGGATACCTACATGGTCCACCACCTGCAGTTCAGACAAAACCAGGTAAAAAAAAAAGGTGGGAGTGGGGTGAATAAGATGAAGAGACGACTGAAAAAAAAGACACACAGACACCAGAACAAGAAAAGAGAAGCAGCAACAGGGATTCGAGAGCGTTGGGACCAGCCGTCAGCACAGGCCCAAGCTAGCCGGGAGAAGTGTGGGAAAAGCATACGTCCGCCATGGCTCCCAGATTGTGAGAAATTTACGGTGAGAATCATTGTGAATACTCGACATCTGTTCGGTAAGCATCAAAGCGGTCATACGATCTCGCATACCCTGAAGGGGGACTGATGCTCTCTTCCGGGCTTGGGCTATCATTTTAGTGGCCGACATAAACAGATAGGAGGCCAACTTCTGCTCATGGGCAAACAAGCCCAGTATGGGCAATGAAGCAATGCATGCTTGGCCTCCCTGCTTATGGTAAGGTGGAACAAGGTATAGAGAAGGCTAAATATGTGGGACCGAAAGCAGACTAATTTAGGGCATGACCACCATATGTGTAAAACATCACCTCGATGACCACAACCCCGAAAGCATCGGTCACTATAGGATGGATTTGTATGGGCAATACGGACCGGAACCCAGTACCAACAAAACCATCACCTTATACACCGCCTCCAACGTAGCTGTATTGAATGAGCATTTAGCCACAGAAGACCAGGCCCCACTCCAGTCTTCCAAACCTATGACAACTGTCAGGTCCTGCTCCCATTGCACAATATACAAAAGGGAGGTATGAGTATGGGGTCTATTCAAAGAGGAATAAAGGGTTGAGATAAGACCCAGTGAACTGGGGGGGATGTTAACAAATATGCTCAAAGGCAGACTTCTTGAATGGGTAGGTGGAAGTTCTGCGTAAGGAAGTCAGCCAATGCCAAAGTTGGACATAATGGAGGAACTCCAACTGAGGAATGTCATGAGACTCCTGAAGGGAGTTCCACGGAGGAAAGGACC